AGAGTGTGCGGTCTGATAAGGCCTCTCGAATCTTGAAGTCCTTGGTCTCCTCGCCACGGACATCAAGAGATGTTTCCTGAACCGCCACACTGCATAGGGCCTCTCCCTGCTCTGCACTCGACCGCTCTTCCGCGTGGCTCCATGGCTTCGCCCTCCACAGGTACCGCCTGGTACTGTTTGGTGTCTTGGGTGTGTGTCTCATTCCCCAACTTGACTGGGAGCTCCTCAATGACCAGGGTTTTTTTGTAGCTCTTCAGACCTCCCTGGGGACCTAGAACAGTACCTTGCACAAAGCAGATTAATTCTCAATGTTGATTAACTGTGTCCAAAACTTTTTTTTTTTTGGTACATGCCCCTAGCAGGAACCGAACCTGAGACTCTCTGGTCCGCAGGCCAATGCTCCAACCACTGAGCTAAACCGGCCAAAGCCAAAACTTTTTTGTAAATTTATCTTTATTGTTGAAAGTATGACAGATGTCCGCCTCTTTTTTCCTGTTCCCCGCTCCCATCTGTTTTTAATTGGAGTAGAACGAAGAGTTGCTGCCTCTCCTCGGATGGGTATAAGCAGAGGCTAGATAGCCACTCACCTGTGACACTTTCAGGAGAAAAGGCATCAGGTGGAAGGTCAAGGTAGATGTCTAAAGTCTCTTCCACCCCAAGATTCTGAGATTCCATGAAGCGTAGCTTTTGCCGCCACTGAGTCTAATCTTGGAAAATGGGTTGTTGCTTCTTAGACAAGTGACTCTCTAGAAGCTGCATGACTCTCCTGTGTGCTCCATGGGGCCAGTGGCCCACAGTTGAGTATAGCTCTCCATCAGCATGCTTCATGTCCCAAGTCAAGTGACAGCGTATGTAAGATGGACCTTTCATACCCCACTGAGGTTTCAACCCTTTGAAGAAGTCTTCCCGCCACCCAGGCTGGTTTGGCTCAACGGTAGAGCATCAGCCTGTGGACCAATGTGTTGTGGGTTCAATTCCGGCCAAGGGCACGTACCTCAATTGCAGTTCGTCCCCTGCCCTGGTCGGGGTCATGCGGGAGGCAACTAGTCAATGTGTCCCTCTCACGTCGATGTTTCTTTCTCTCTCTCTCTCTTCCTCCCACTCTATCTGAAGATAAATAGAAAAAATATCCTCAGGTGAGGATTAAAAAATAATAGTAATAGTAATAAAAGAAGTCTTCCCCCAAAGTGTAAGGAGAGGCAGATGGTAATGGGAAAACCTGTACATTTTACTTATTAGAATTTTTTGTATTACATCCTGCATTTTTAAAACGCTTCAAGATGCAAACAAAATGATATTATTCATTGAAATATTTAAATCTGCTGACAGCAACGACATCAAAATATCAAAATACAACCCAGCCTCCTGGAAGGTAGATTCCCTTTGACTTCCACAAGGAGGCTGTTCCCGCAGAAAGGAAGGGGTGCGTGCTCTTCGAGATGAGGTCAGGAAGGTGATGCATACCTGATGAGGTCGTGGGGGACACATGGCGATGGGAATGAGGGCAAGGAACGTGCAGAGACATTCTCCTGTTGACAAAAGACAGCCAAGGAGGGAGTTCAGGGCCGGGAGCCAGGTGCTTCTCCCGCCTCCCATCGCTGCCTCCCTTGGCTGAGTGAGTCGTCCCCTCCTGGCCTTGCCCACTGCCAGCCCTCACTCCGCAGAGACCCTGGGAGGATTGGCGAGCCACAGTGGGGGACGGTGTGAAAGAGGGGTGCAAGGTCAAATGGAATGTGAACAGGATTGTGAATCTTAGGCACAGCACCCTTCTCACCTTAAAGGTAACTTGAATGATCAATGTCCATTCACCAAGGCTTACAAGAGACTTCAGAAATCACCAGAGTCCACAGGTGCACCGGTTCTAATCCGTGCACCTCTGAGACCTGTGGCCCGCAGACTAGGAGAGATCCGATAGCTCCTCCACGCAGCCTCCCTGTCCTGAGACCGTCAGCTGCAGGCGGGTCCCAGCTCCTCCACCCCGTCTCTCTGACCCAGAGCAGATGACCCAGTGTCGCCATGCTTGAATTTCTCCACGGTAAGACGTGAGCAGTACCAACATTGCAGAGGTGTTGCGAGAATTAGAAATGACATTGTTAAAGAGGCTAGCCAGCCACAAGGCAGAGTGGGGTCACCCGTCTTGGATTCTGTCTGCACTGCAGAAGCCTGAGACTGTGTCCATCGCTCCTCCGGACAGTCTGACACGACCCCTCCAAGTGTATTTCACAGTGCCTCCTGCTTTGTACCGTCACATATGGGACTGTGAACACTCCCACCTCTGTGAGGAATGCTGCATTATAACATCTATATCGCAGGTGCTACATTGAACAGTTACCTTCCTCTGATTGTAGTAGACTGGATTGCATAAATAGAAATGTGGAGAGGAGGAGGGTATGAAACACAGCACGAAGTGGGAAGTGGTCAAGGGGACCAGAACCCGTGGCGCTCCGTTGGCCGCATAAGGAGCGTGAGTTCCGTGGCCAGCGGGATGGAACATTCGCGTAGACGAGGCACACGACCTGCTTTCTGGGTTTGTGGGAACGTGCTCCTGACTCTGCGGAGAATGACAGTGGACAGGAGGGGAGCAGGGGGGCCGCGTAGGTTATTGCCTTTGATCACGGCGTCCGTGGCTGTGACGGCGAAGGTGGAGGGAAGCGGGCAGATTGGAGACATCGTTTGAAAGTAGAATCAAGATGTGCTGATGGGTTTGGAGTGAGGGAAAGTGGGAATGAAGGACCAGTCCTAGGCGTCTGCTGTGAGGGGCTGAGAGACCGTGAATGGGACCGTTTGCTGGAGGTGGAGAAGGGTGGAGGAGGAGGGATTGGGGGAGGGAGAGGTCGGGAGTTTTGTTGGGATGAGTTAGGTGTGAAACTAGACATCGGAGTGGATTTGCCAAGTGTGCTGGACAGACTGACTCGGTCCTGCGGGCTCAAGATCCATGTCGGGTGGTCGTCAACATATAGATAGTATTTTAGCCAAAGGACTAGGTGGGTCGACTTAGAAAAAAATATTGTTTTTTTTTAATTTAAGAAGTTTCAAATTTTAAAAAATTGTTAGAAAAAAGAAGTGGGAGGAATAAGCACAGAGCACGGTGACATTTAAAGGCTGAGCAGAGGAAGGAGAGGCAGGAGAAGAGCCCGGAGAAGCTGAGAAAGTGTGATGGGAGGGGAGCCGGCAGAGAAAGTGTTCCGCGAAGAGTGGCAGCGTGGGCTGGCCCGACGCAGCTCCACTCACCAAGTGAGATAAGGACAGGGCGTAAACTAGTGTGCTGGGGGCAGCTGGTGGGTGACCTTGACAAGACAAGCTGTAGTGGAATGATAGAGTGAGAAGTCCCAATGGAGCAGGTGGGAAGGGACGGGAGGGATGGGGGACAGTGAGGTTTTGCTGAAAAGGAGAACAGAGAAATGGGGAGGTAGCTAGAGAGGGTGTGAGCTTGAGGTTTTGTTTTATGCTGTTGTGTTGTAAATAGGAGATTTGGGTGCATATTTAAATGCCAGTGGAGATAAAGCAGGAGGGAAAGAGAAAGGTTGATAATTCAGGGAAGAAAGTAGACCAAGGAGGACACCCAGAGCACAGTGGAGCCGTGGCCTCCGAAAGGCCCTCGGGGGACAGGGGAAGGCGGCGGTGGTAGGATGGGGTCAGGGTGGATTTGGTGATGGGCAGGGGGGTGATCCTGTTTGTGTACTTACATTCTCTCAACGAACTATGGCTTTAGGTCATCTTTTGAGAGGAGCTGGGACTTCTGAATCCTGAGCCCAAATGCACGGTGCCCCTTCCTTACTAGTTGGTACCCGTGGAAAGGATGAAAACAGCAACCCCGTTTGTATAATGTAGTTTAAAGAGCTATCAGTGACAGAGCAATGCATGTTTGCTCTTTCATGTGATGCTTCATCCTGAATTATTCAAGTTCCCAGCAGGGGCTAGAAGTCACATGGTTTGTTTAAATTAAGACTCGTTAATAAAGGAACTGTTTACAGAGATACAGTGGGGTTCAGTGATGCTGCCCCCAGAGACTGTCGACAGCCAGGCGTCATCGCCACCTGTGGGCCAACGGGCCAGGGCGATGGGCAGTGTGAGATCCCAGGGGAAGCTGGAGTCAGGAGGGGCCAACCGGTGTGACGGTTCATGGCCAAGGCCTGCATGTCCTGTCAAGGAGGGGGTGCCGAAGCCGAGGGAATGAGGGAGACACAGCCTGACGTCTCCCTCCCCCATCTCTCTCGCGGATGCTGCTCGCAGCTGGGAGCTCAGCACTCCTGCTGAGGGACAGAGCAGGCCTGGCCCTGAACCCGCACAGCCCCTGGTACTTCCTGCCATAACTGTTGAAAAGATTTGGAGCCTCGCTAAGGGCGGTCTTCATACCCAGCAAGTGTATAGGATGCCTCTTGCTCTCGCACCAGCTGGGATTTGGAAAACCGCTCACTGTGCTCTTGGGTACGAATCGTCATGGACACCGTAACCCACCCATAATCTTCCAGTGCGATGTTTGCCCGCATGCTCTTCCTCCGTTTCCATGCAGAGGCATCCTGCCCATGGAACGAGGGACGCCTATGTTTCAGGGCTCCTCACGCCCACGGGAGAGCCCCAGACATGCATGCACGTGGGCGTATTTTTGCAAAAGTAAGGTATTTTTACTCTATTAAGACTATAACTTTTTTTATTCTGACCCTAGAAAGGACCCTCCCCCCATTATATGCACTTTAGGCCCCACAAAACTGCTTCTGCTTTCGGAAGAGACAGGTGTGCTGGTGCACATTGTATCCCCTCCCCAGGAGCCCACCTGCTTCCGGCGGGCTGGCTCAGGGGCCTCAGGTGCACATTGGGCAAAGGGGAGGATACAGCAGGAGGGTAGGGAAAGCAGAGAAGGGGGGCGGGGCGGGGGCTGCTGGAGGCCGCGGAAGAATAGCGCTGCGCCTGGGGAACCCACTGTGGCGCAATGGAGCGTCATCCGCCGCTGGGTGACTGCCCTCTGGGGCCTCGCTCAGACGCTGCTCTTTGTGTTTCAGATGCAGATGGAAACCTGTGTCGAAGTAACCAGCTGTTGCAGGTCATGCTGACCATGCACCGGATCATCATCTCCTCTGCGGAGCTGCTCCAGAAAGTGATCACCCTATATCCTTTCAGCCCTCTGACTGCAGTCCCAAAGAGGGGTTTGCAGAAGTAACTCGACAGTGGAAGTATGCTTTTGTTTTGATTGGTTTGGAATAATCCTGAGTGGTGAGTGAGTTCCTATGTCGTACGTCCTTTCAGGGGTATGGAGTGTGTGTGCGTGCGTGCACATACGTGTGTGTGTGCACATACGTGTGTGTATGTCTCTTCCGTTGGGCCAGCAGTGCTATTGATGCTGATGGTTCTGGGAAGTTGTCAGAGGAGCCTGCATGCAACAGCCTGGCTGGTAACGGCGCTCCTCGTGCGGAGTCGTCAGACTTCGGATTCACCCTGTGCGGGTTGACAAGGGTGTACGTGGGACTCAGATGATGGCATGCGCTCTGGCTTTCCTGCCTGGTTCTGGAACCTTCCCCGGGTTCTGTCACGGCGTCTGGAGAGTCTGCTGGTGCCTTTTTGCTTCAGGCAACCAACCCTGCTGGACTTAAGCCTTCTTGTGGGGTGTGAACCGAGCAGGGTGGAGAAAGCACTGGCCTCTCCCACTCGCTGATGACACAGAGCTGTGGCCCCGAAGAGAAGCCGTGGGTGAGGTGAGACCGTTTAGCACCCAGAGCCCAGAGCCCTGCACTGAGTCATGACTGTGGCTCTTCTCATCTTACCACTCTCCTGACCCCGGCTTTTCCATCTTATGGCACACACACACACATAAAAGCCCTCAGGACCAAAGCCCTTCTCTGATCCTGCTTGGACAGAGGTGTTTCCAGGGGCCGAGCCGTCGGAGGGTCCACATCTTACAGGGTGCAGGTAGGAAGTAGGTGTCTCAACTGCAGAGAATTTTCAAATCATAGTAAAACTGACTCAAGAGTTAGTCTGTTTCTTATTAACTCCATGTACAAACAATGTCAGGGATTAAGTACTTCTCTGTACCGCAGGCCGACGCTCCAACCGCTGAGCCAAACCGGCCAGGGCAGGGATTAAGTATTTCTTACTGGAAAAATTGTTGGTCTAAGGACTAAATTGCACCTGGGATGCCCACCCAGAGGGGATGCCCACCCAGATGGGATGCCCACCCATCCCATCCTTCCTGGCACAGCTCACAGACTCTGACCCCATCCCCTATCTCCCCTCTCCCTAGTACTTTAAACTCTGCCTCTTCAGTGGCACCTGCCACTCAGCCTAAAACACATGGAAAGGTCCCCAACCTGAAAATAAACTCTCTGCGCTGCCTCCCCTTCATCCCATCGTCAGGGCAGAAATTTGATGTGCAGACTTTGTAAAATAGTCTGCACTCACTGTCTGCAGTCTCTCAACTCCCTCCCACTACTTCATTCAATACTGGCCCACCCCCAAACGCAGACCTCCCTATGATGTCACCAGTGACCACCTAGTTGCCAAGCCCAGTGGCATTTTTTCATTCTGGTTTACGTTGCCCTCCCAGAAGCACTGCTGATCTCCTGCCTCCCCTGGACTCGCATCCTCCTGGCTCCCCTCCTCCTGGCTCCCCCCCCTCCTCCTGGCTCCCCCCCCTCCTCCTGGCTCCACCCCCTCCTCCTGGCTCCCCTCCCTCCTCCTGGCTCCACCCCTCCTCCTGGCTCCACCCCCTCCTCCTGGCTCCACCTCCTCCTCCTGGCTCCCCTCCCTCCTCCTGGCTCCACCCCTCCTCCTGGCTCCACCCCCTCCTCCTGGCTCCCCCCCCTCCTCCTGGCTCCACCCCCTCCTCCTGGCTCCACCCCCCCTCCTGGCTGCCCCCCCTCCTGGCTGCCCCCCCTCCTGGCTCCCCCTCCATCCTGGCTCCCCCCCTCCTCCAGCTTTCCATCCAGCACATTCTTTGAGCACCTCTTACATCCTGGGATAAGATCCTGGTCTTTTTCACTCTCTTCCTCCCCTGGGTGAAGTCTCACCAGCGTGTTCACCCTGTTTTTCTGTGTTAATGACTGTCAAGTCTCTGTTTCAGAAATGTTAGTATGTTCAAAACTTAACTCAGTTTACCGCTCTCGCCCCACAACTACTGCCCAATTAATTCTGCTCAGACACCTGTATTTTCGTTTTCAGCGAATGGCATCAGTACCGTTCAGTTGGCTGAACCAGAACCTCAGAGGCTCTCTTGTCCTTCCCCTCCTACAGACTCCTCCGTCACCCGATCCCAGGGTTCGGCTTCAGAAATGACTCTCACCTGTCTCTTCTCTCCATTCCCATGGCCCTGCCCCGGTCCGGGCCGCGGGCTCCCTGCTGGCCTCCACCCATGTTCTTCCCATCTATGTGCCTCCCTCCTTCTCGTTGCCCACCTCTGCCTTTACTTTCCTAGGAAATCCGACAACCATTGCTTCAGAGCCTCTGCCCACTCGAGGGGTAACGTCCAACTCCTGAGTTCCAGGAAATGGCCCTCCAGGGTGTGAGCCCGGGGCGTCTCCGGCTCCATCAGAACCCCTTTCCTCCCACACAGACCCCGCAGCGCCCCAGACTCCCGTGTCCTCTCCCCATGCTTGGGCCTTTTCCTCCCTCCAAGCTGAACAAACCCTTCCCAGACCCCCGTGAAATCGTTCCTGACTTGTCCACACCCCCACCTTTACAAATACACCGTGTGTTTTAAAACAGTGTTATCGATTTGGAAATCTGTTTAATGCCTGCGACTTCCTCATGTATTGCTCAAGCGTTCGGTGTATCTCGCCTGACTCTGGCCTGGATGTAGTCTGCCTTGGGAAGCTCTTCATCGGTGATGGCAGAGGTGTGGAGAGTTTTTCTTTGGTTTTTCTTTAGCTAAATGAGTCTGTCTGCCTAAGCTAGTCTGGAAGGGTTGGAACGTGACACCTGTATACTCTGGTATTTATAGATGACTGCTCTAAGGAAACCATGAAACCTATGTGTCTAGTTGCTGTAGTTTGAATGTCATTAGTAACATAGAATCCTGCAAGGTGTTGAAAAATTAATTAAATTACAAGTTACTTTAAAAACAAAGGCACAGCCCTGGCCGGTTTGGCTCTGCGGTTAAAGTGTCGGCCTGCAGTCTGGAGAGACCCGGGTTTGGTTCCCGCTAAGGGCATGTACCTCGGTTGCAGTTTGTCCCCGGCCCTTGTTGGTCGTGCGGGTGGCGGCCACTCGATGTGTCTCTTTCACATCGATGTTTCTCTCTCTCTCTCTCCCTCCTGCTCTATCTGAACAAAGAATGAAAAAGTGTCCTCGGGTGAGGATAAAAAAAAACAAAAAAACAAACAAAGGCATATAGTGTAACACATATACACACACCATACTGTAACTTGCCCATTTACGAGCTGTCTCCCCCACCAGACTGTGTCCCCCAAGGGCAGGAGCCAAAGCTTGTTTGGCTTTGTTCCTCTAGAATGTAGCTTAGTGGCCATCTCATGGCAGGACTCAATGAAGGTTGCATTTTTGTGGGTGCAAATCATCAAGACACGTTCTCTGTAGCTGTCAGGACCTTCAGGTGAGAAATCTGAACTCTGCCCAAGTCTGGGCGGTGGAAAGAGGTTCTAAGAAAGGAATATGGGGAAAGACTTCCCATCATCAGAACCCAGGTTATACATCGAAGGCAAGATGATTTTTCCTTCGTGCTTAGTTTCCCTGTTCTGATTTGGAAGTAATACAATTGTTAAATAAGCTCCGATGGTTTCTTGTTTTTCCATTGTTTTTAAAAAAGAGAGAGATTTTAGAACATGCTTTGAATAGTTCAGATGCCTGAAAAGTGCAGTCAAAGGGCCCTGGTACTTCCCCGGCCAGCGAGGGAATGGTGTGGAGCGAAAGGTGTGGAGCCTGCGCTGCGGCCCAGGGCCGGCTACCTGGGGGGCAGACCCGAGCCTGGCGCTGGCCTGTGTTGGGACCCCGGCGTCCTCTCCCGGCCTCACTCCGGGTGCCCCTGCTCTGTACTGGGGCGCTGGGGACCTTGGGAGGCTCTGCCCTTCTGCCTCACATTCTGCCCACGGAGGCTCGGCCCCTGAACGCAGACTGACGGATGTATTTGGACACTCCCCCTCACAGACTCCTTCCCTGCCTGCGGCGCTCGGGAGGGCCGGGAGGGATAGGAGCCACCCCGAGGAAGGTGAACCCCGCGGAAAGGGCACCGTGTTGATTTATATGTTCATTTAGTAGTTTTAAAAAGAGATTGGTTTGGGTGCCTTTCTCAGTAAAAAGGAAGAATAAAAACTTCTATTAGTCGAATAATAAAAAATACAGAATCTAAGACACGTTTATCTAAAATGTGCCTTATGCTTGGGTCTCTGCATCTAGGGGCTGCGTTTTCTCAGCAATGTAGCACAGAGACATGTAAAGCCATCTTCTTTGCACCCCCATCTCCTTTGCACCCCCATCTTCTTTGCACCCCCACCCTCATGCCCAAGGAGAGGCAGGTATCAAGCCTGTTACTCTATGAAGTTTGCCAGTTGCCTGGGTTTATTTTTATTGTGATCACATTTGTTGGTGTGGGTGTGGCTTTGTGGTTTTGTTTTGGTGCCCTGGAGCACAGGTTTTATAAGCAGTAAATCCATTAAAATAGGTTTTTAAAATTAAAGTCATTTTATCGAAAGTACCAATTTTATAACCGTAGTTATTCTGTAGGGGTTCGAGTGTGGCTTGCAAATCTTTCTCTTCCTGTAAGCCGCACCTGTTCCACCAGTACTTTCAAGGGGCCTTGAAAATGTTGGTGAATTTGGACAATGCAAATTAAACATTCCCAGTGGTTTTAAACAATTATGAATTTTACATCTTAGATTATTTTTAAATACTTCAGAGGCCTTCCTGAATTCAAAATAGTTTTTATAACTCTGGTAGATTGAAATTATGAACAGTAAAGCTAACATTATCTTAGATGTTTCAAAGTGATGCATAAACTTAAGATTTCACTTTAAAACCACAAATCTAAAGTACTTAATTACATATTCCAAATTGAAATTTCAAAGCTGTGATTCTAATACACTCTTAAACTTTACAGGCATATAAAATTGCAAAATGCAGGTGCCTTTCTAATAGAAACATCAGTGATATGATTTGGACGGTCTTAAACTTTGCTATATCTAACTCTGAATTTCCCAGGGGTCACAATGCGCACACCCCCAAGGAAGACCTCTCTGTCCCAGTTACTAGAGACCTCTGCCGGCCTCTCCCTAGATCCTTCTCAGGAGCCCTCTGCAGTTCATTGAGACCTGTACTGCACTTATTATGACCCTTTTAATTTCATTTATCCTTTTTATCTCTATTGTTGAAAGTATTACAGATGTTCCCCCATTGACCCTCCCCTACTCCCCTCTTCTACCTACTTCCTGCTTTCCCCAAACTATTCTTTGTGTCCATTGGTTGTGCATATATGGTTTATGTCTTCCCGACTCCCCACCCCCTTCCCTCTGAGGTTTGTCAGTCTGATCCCTGCTTCCATGTCTCTGGATCTATTTTGATCAACAGCTTGTTTTTGTTCATGATATTTCATAAATAAGTGACATCATGTGGTACTTATCTTTCTCTGACTGGCTCATTTTTCGCTCAGCATAATACTCTCCAGGTCCTTCCATGTCATCTCAAAGGATAAGAGATTTCTCTTTCTTATAGCTGCATAGTATTCCATTGCCTATATGTACCACAGCTTCTTTATTTATTTATTTATTTTGGTACATGTCCCTAGCGGCAACCAAATCCAGGACTCTCTGGTCCGCATGCCGATGCTCCAAACGCTGAGCCAAAAGGCCAGGGCTGTACCACGACTTTTTTATCCACTCATCTATTGATGGACACTTGGGCTGTTTCCAAATCTTAGCAATTGTAAATAGTGCTGCTATGAACATAGGGGTACATATATTTTTTCTGATTGGTGTTTCAGGCTTCTTAGGGTATATTCCCAGAAGTGGAAAATGGCAGTTCAATTTTTAATTTTTTGAGGTAACACCATATTGTTTTCCATAGTGGCTGCACCAGTCTGCATTCCCACCAGCAGTGTACTAGAGTCCTCTTTTCTCCACATCCTCACCAGCACTTGTTGTTTGAGGATTTGTTGATGGCAGCCATTCTGGCAGGTGTGAGGTGATACCTTATAGTCATCTTAATTTGCATCTCTCTGATGATTAGTGATGTTGAACATTTTTTCATATGTCTCCTGGCCATTTTATGTCCTGTTTAGAGAAGTGTCTATTCAGATCCTCTGCCTATTTTTTTTTCCCCATTCTCTTCTTTTTTATTTATTTATTTTTATTAATTTGTTTTTGTTACAGATGTTTCTCCTTTTTCTCCCCTTAACACCCTCCTCCCCATCCCCAGCTTTGTTGTCTATGTCCATTGGTCATGGAGACATGCATATAAGTTCTGTGGTTTATCTCTTTCCCCCCAACCCCCTGTCCTCTGAGGCTTGTTAGTCTGTACCCCACCTCTATGTCTCTGGGTCAATTTAGTTCATCAGTTTGTTTAGTTCATAATATTCCACAAATAAGTGAGATCATGTGATATTTGCTTTCTCTGCTTGGCTTGTTTCATTTAGCATAATAATCTCCAGGTTCTTTCATGCCATCTCAAAGGATAAGAGATCTTTTTTTAATTGGATTGTTTGTCTCCCTTTTGTTGAGTTGTATGGGTACTCTATATATTTTGAATATTAACCCCTTATCCAATGTATCACTGGCAAATATGTTCTCCCAGAGAGGGGTTCCTTTTTCATTTTGATGCTGGTTTCTTTTGCCATGCAGAAGCTTTTAGTTTGATGTAGTACCGTTTATTAAGATTTTTCCTTTGTTTCTCTTGTCCTAAGGGATGTATCAGTGAAAATTCCACTACGTATGATGTCTGAGATTTTTCTGCCTACATTTTCTTCTAGGATTTTTATGGTTTCATGAGTTACATTTAATTCTTTTGTCCATTTTGAGTTTATTCTTGTGTATGATATGAGTTGATGGTCTAGTTTATTTTTTTTTTTTTTTTTTTTTTTTTTTGCATGTACCTGTCCAATTTTCCCAACACCATTTATTGAAGAGACTGTCTTTTCTCCATTGTATGCTCTTGCCTCCTTTTTTTAAATTAATTGTGCATAATGTCTTGAGTCAATTTCTGGGTTCTCTGTTCTGTTCTATTGATCTATGTGCCTGTTTTTGTGCCAGTACCAGGCTGTTTTGATTACAGTGGCTTTGTAGTATAACCTGATATCTGATATTGTGATCCCTCCCACGTTGTTATTTTTCAAGATTGCTATGGTTATTCAGGGTCTTTTTTGGTTCCATATAAACTTTTGGAGTGTTTGTTCTAGATCTGTGAAATATGTCATTGCTACTTTAATGGGGATTGCATTGAATCTGTAGATTGCTTTGGGTAGTATGGAAATTTTAATGATGGTGATTCTTCTAATCCATGAACATGGTGTATGCATCCACTTTTTTATATCTTCCTCTATTTCTTTTTTCAATGTCCTGTAGTTTTCTGAGAACAAGTCTTTTACCTCCTTGGTTGAGTTTATTCCTAGGTATCTTATTTTTGTTGTTGTTGTTGCAATGGTAAATGGCATTGTTTCTTTAATTTCTCTTTCTGAGTGTTCATTATTGGTACATACGAATGTCATCGATTTCTAGATGTTAATTTTGTATCCTGCTACTTTGCCAAATTCATTTATTAAATCTAGTAGATTTTTTATGGAGTCTTTATGGTTTTCTATGTACAATATCATGTCATCTGCAAATAATGAGTTTTACTTCCTCCTTTCCAATTTGGAAACCTTTTACGTTATCTTCATGTCTAATCAGTGTGGCTAAAAAAATATGGAATGCTTCACAAATGTGCACGTCCTTCTTGCAAGGGGCCATGCAAATCTTCTCTGTATCTTTCTTATTTTAGTGTATGTCCTGCTGAAGTGCATGTACTATGTGTACATGTTTAAGAAGAGAAAGGGGCAGAGTCTTGCAGCCATTCAGCCCACATGGCCTGGTGGCTCATTCTGTGTATGGAAGATGGTAGCCACCCCCCCAGGTTTGTCACTGGACTGGATTTTGCATTTCTTTCACTCTTAAGTGAATATTCTTTTCATATAGCTCTGGAACAGCAGCTTTCAAGCCATGTGCCACAAGAATGTTTAAAACATGCCACGCCTGACTATTTAGGGGCACTGACCTCTTTTTCCTTAGATTGTCATAAAAAAAATGACAGCAGCCAACACAAAAACAGCCATTGGGTATGAATGAATAAAAATTATACCTTTTTTGTTTGTCAGATCGGCAAAAAGCCTATTTTTGGTGTGCCACCGAATTTTAGCGATGAGTGTGTGTGTGCCTGAGATGAAACAGGCCGACGGTCACTGTCTTCACCTTGTGAGCTAGACAGAATCTCGATGTTCTTTCACAGTCTTAGGATGACACTATTCTCCTGGAATAGTCCAATGATATGGATCCTTAACGTGTCTCTGATTGTATTTGGGATTATTCACTTGGGTTTGTCTGACTCGCCATCACAATTTACAAGGTCGACCTACTGACATCCTCTAGGTGTATGTTACCATTTTCATGTTATTGGCATGACAATATATCTGAATATTTATTCCTTCCCCCTCCTCTCTGCACTGCGCAAATTCTTCATCAGTTACTGTCAGAAGACAAGAAGGCTGCTCTTTTTAACTTGTCTCTGTTGGACTCCGGTCTCCTGGGCGTGGACAGGTCATTTGCCCCCCTTCACTTCTTCCAGGTCCCCTGTGCCGGGCTTCCCGCCTGCCGATGTCCCAGCTCTGCATCCCGGAGGAGACGCTGTGCCTCCTTCCGTAGCCAACTCGGCACCAGCTAGATGAAGGTCCCACAGCACCCTCTAGGTCAGCGGTTCTCCACCTTCCTAATGCCGCGACCCTTTAATACAGTTCCTTGTGTTGTGACCCCCATAAAGTTATTTTCGCTGCTACTTCATAACTGTAATTTTGCTACTGTTATGTCTTAGGCGACCCCTGTGAAAGGGTCATTCGACTCCCGAAGGGGTCGTGACCCACAGGTTGAGAACCGCTACTCTAGTGCTGATAACCCTACAGCTGCACACACCAACTTGGTTTTTATCTATGTCCGGAGAGAGAAGAAAACATATTCATTCAAAAAAAAAATTTATTTCGGGAGGGGTCAGTTTTAGCAAGCACTTCCACGGATGAGAAGTGGTTTGGTTTCTGTAACAGGCTCCATTTCCCTTAACCACAGCCCACGTATAAGGATGCCTTGTCCAAGAAGTCCCCAGGGCTGTGCCTGAGGATCTGCTATTTTGTAAGGTAACGTTTCTGCGAGCCTCGGAGACTGGGGAGTGGGGTGACATGAAAGACTGAGCCAGGTGACTCTGGTTCTTCCTCGTCCGCCTGCCTCTGCCTGCCTGGCCATCTTTCTGCAGCTCAGCTCTGGGCACACTGGAAAGGGCAGGAAGCGGAGCAGCCCACCTTTCCTGGCGTGCCTGAGCGTGACAGTTTACACCAACATTTTACACCACATTTTCCCTCCGTCTCACAGCATTTTTGGTATCAGATGACGGGGGGGAGGGAGGTTATCTTGTTTTTAGTCCAAATTATAAAAGTAATATAGCTCACATTAGTGCATTTTGAAAATACAGAAAAGAATATAACTAAAGGAATAATCACTCATCTGCAACTGCCTATTTTAGTATATTTCCTTTGTTATTTTTCCAAGCAGATTTTTTAAACATAGTTGAGATCAAAACACACACAAAGTTTATGTCCTGTAGTTTCCGCTTAAGTTGAGTATCATCGAAAACTTCTCGTCATTAAAAACTGTAAATATTATTTTCAGTGGCCATATAATAGTCTAAGATATGACAAAGTGTAAGTTACAGATACGTTGCCCCATTTTGGGACATTTGGTTTGTTTTAGTTGTCTTATTTACAGTTCTCTCTGATGCACACGACTGGGCCTGAATCTCTCCATTGGCTCCTTTGGTTATGATGCACCTCATCTTATCATAGCATTTAAGGTGCGGGGGGTAGAGGGGTTGAGACAGATGGTTTTCTTCCCCTCCCCCCCCTCCACCCTGGCTTCTTACATGCTTATATAGAATATATATTCCATATTCCCAGGAATAGAGGAGGGCAACACCACCTCTGTCTTTCACTCAGTCCTGTTTGTGGGAAGAACCCACCAAAGTGAGTCCTGGCCTTCGGTTTTGCATTGTGTTTTAACCCCCACCATGCAGGTACTGGATAACCGAATTCTGGGTCATGTTTAAAGTGGACGCCAGCTTGACAAACACTATGGAGGAGTTCCAGGAGCTGGTGAGAGCCAGCGGTGAGGAGTCGCACTGCCGCCTGATCGACACGACGCAAATGTGAGTGTGGGGGTTCCATGGGGCCCCTCCGCTCTGAGGACCCCTCTGCACCGGGGGGACCCTCTGCTCCCGGGAGCCCTGGCTCCGGCAGTGGCTGCTCTGTCACCTCTGGGAGAAGCCCCTCGGATAGGCAGGTTCAGGTCACCTCACCACAGTGCAAAGCTTGGCGTGGACAGGCAGGCAGGGAAGCCCCCGGTGATAAAGCCCTGGGGGTCCTGGTCACGAGCAGAAGGAATGGAAGACCCAATCAGGCAGCAAGCTGTTGACTGAAACGTGTCCAGGTCGTGAGGAACCGCAAGCGCGGTGGCTACACTCCCGCCTTCTCGGCAGCGAGAGCCTGCAGGCCCGCGTGCGACACATGGTGTCTGTGACAGATGCTTAGACTTCAGGCGTTGGAAGGCGTCTCAGGAGCATTCCACAGTATTCCTTGGCTGTGTCATTTATAAGGTTGGCCCACTCGGGGCAGATGAGTCCTTTCCTAATTTGGGAGAGGAGGGCACACACATTGTCTGCTAAGATTTCCACAGTGTGGCCCCTTCCGTTTGGCATAGTGTGGGTCCCTCGGTGTAGACTCCTGGAACTGAAACACACCCTAGAGCTCGTTTCTGCCGCATCCTGGAAGCAGACGCAGCCCGGCTCACGCAGCTTGCCAAGTTAGTGGCGCAGCAGAAACTCGGTGCCCTGGGTCATAGCCGTGTAGCAGGGATTAAAAATCACCTGTCACAGTCCCCATTAAATCAGTCTATCAGTTTGGATTCTCTGTGCCTCTCTAAGTAGAATAATACAGGCTGAAGATAAAAGATTTTCGAGTAACAACCTCCTCATTTTAAAGATGCGGAGCCTAGGCCCCAGGGCAGCTCTCAAGCCCAAATCTCCCCGTAGGCGACTTTCCTGTGTCCATGTTTCCCACAGTCTGTTCTCTAGGGATTAGTCCGTGGGTATTGCTTGACCAGATATATTTGAGAACTAGTGAACTGGACTTGCAAAGTGTGCATCTCAGTCTCTACTGTGCTCATTGGACAAGAGGGGCTACGGGATTTGTAGCATTTCCTAAACGTCGCAGGACTCTGGAAAGAGATGGGGTTCTCAGGAATACCGGTTTGGGAAACACAGATCTGCAGCCTGCTACCTCTCAAAACGGATCTCTCCCTGTGCTTCCGTAGTGTAGGAAACTGAACCGAAATCAGAAGCCCGTGGTTGGTTACAAGAAAATGGTGTGCGTGTGTGGGGGTGGTGCTTAGGGTCGGCAAGGCTACCTTGGAGACACCGCTGCACCAGCTGGGGACATGGAGGAAATGCCACCAGTCTGCTCAGAGTGACCACGCGTTCCTGCCCATGACTCCCTGCAGCATGACATCTCCTCTCTGTGGTTCTCTGTGCTCTGTGCTGCTTCCAGAAGCAGAGGGAAAACCACCCTCCTTCCTTGAGATTTCCAACCGGCTGGCGTCCCTGACCCCCGTATGAGAATGGAGGGACACACAGTAGGCGTGGAGAAAGCAGCTGTGCCGGGGCAGAGGGAGGAGCCGGGGCCGATGACCAGGAAACTGGCCAATGCCCGAGACCCTGTCCTTCCGAGGCCTTAAAGTAAATGCCTTTCCCCCAGTTCCCGTTCAAAAGGTTCGTAGGAAACCAGCAAGGCTTCCTAGTTGCTGCCATAGAAAATATTGATTGGGGCCCTGGCTGGTTTGGCTCAGCGATTAGAGTGTCGGCCTGCGGTCCAGAGAGTCCTGGGTTCGGTTCCCGCTCAGGGCATGTACCTCGGTTGGGGTTGTGTGAGAGGCAGCCACTCGATGTGTCCCTTTCACGTCGATGTTTCTCTCTCTCACACGTCCTTGCTCTCCCTCCCACTCTATCTGAACAAAAGTGGAAAAATGTCCTCAGGTGAGGATAAAAAAAGAAAATAGTGATTTGGGAAAACTGTTAATGCTTCGTTTTAGCCAAGGAAGTTGGCTAATTGTTCTTTGTATATTATTGTGCGAAACGTTAATGGACTTGCATTCAGAAGCAATTTTGGTTTATCCCTTTCCCCCCCATCTCCTCTCTTTTTGCACGGTTACCCACAAAAGCAATGCGCGTGACTGGTCGAGGAAACTGACTCAGAGGATAAAATCGAACACCAGCAAGAAGCGGAAAGTGTCCCTGCTCTTCGACCACCTGGAACCGGAGGAGCTGTCGGAGCACCTCACCTACCTTGAGTTCAAGTCCTTCCGGAGGATATCCGTACGTACCCAAGGGGCGGGAGGAAAGCTTCCCTGGGGTATTTCCGGGCATAGCAGAGAAAGTCCGCGGCCTGTCCCCCTCCGGAGCCCAGAGGCCCCTCAGTGCGGGGGCCTTCCCGGCGGACGGCTCCAGCCTGCGAATCGGCACACTTGGAATTCCTGTTGCCGTCTTCCCCTCCGTTCCCCACACCTGCCCCACCCACACTCCAGTGACAACACAGTGGACACACATGCGTACGTGGGCGTGTACACACACACACACACACACACACACACAGTTTTTACTCCCATTGGTCATTAGGTTGCCAGAATTTTTGTTTTTTTAATTTATTTTCCTTCAAAAAAAAAAATGGAGATACATCCTCTAAGGCTTTGAGTTCATCCTGGGATGGGTTTTGAATGGCTCTGGGACATGCCAGTAGAAATGTTACCGATCCAGCCCAGAAGGTACCTAATCCTTGAAGTGGTGCTGACATGGCCCAGCGTTGCCGATGATTCTGGAGATGAACTGTGCTGACCCGAACTGGCTCCTTGAAGCTCCATGGGTGATGCCAAAGAACCCTGGCTCCACGCAGATGCCAGCAGACCCTCCCTAGCCAATGTGCTGTCCTGGGAGATGGCACCTTTACTCGCCCCACCCCCACCCCCACTGAAAAGGGTCTTCCGCTTTGCTCTAAAAATAGACTGCCTGGTGGCTGGGTGCATTTCGTGGAACGCCCTGTGTTCCCTGGATGAGGGAATGGAGGCCCAGAGAGGGGCTTGGCAAGGTCACACAGCTTATTAGATTAAGAACCGGGGCGAGAATGACAGGCCTGTCTCGGTCACTCAGCACCGACGTACTGAGCCTGGTTCTGTTGGAAAGGAACCCCGCAAACCAGGTAATAGAGGTTTTTTCATCTTTCCTCCCATAATGTGAACACCTGTTTTTACACAGCTGTTTGCCCAGCCAGCCAGGAACACCCCAGCTCCCATTGGGAAATGTGCCCAAGCATTAATCAGCCCTAGTCCCCTCTGGCACCCCTCAGACAGAGCCACAGGTCCCGGCTGGGAGGCTCCACCTGGGGAGTTTGCACTTGGCGGGGCCTCCCCCTGTCACGGGGAGGGACGTTGAAAGGAGCCTTTATTACAGTGAGGATCTGCGCTGGGCAGGGGCCCAACTGGCAGGGCTGTTCGTCAGCCTGCGGTGTCTGCCTGACGCCAGTGCTCAGGTCGGCAGAGGCCGGGCGACCGCGTCCAGCAAGGACTCTGAGCTCTGCTCCCCGCCCTGGGGCGGCGTCCTGTCTGCAGAAGGAGCTCCATGGCTCGTGAACGGCACAGTCCCCTCACAGAAGACACCTGCTTGGAGCCTCTGTGTGTTTTCCTACACAGTTCTAACCGGTTTCCCCAAACATTTTCCCTCCAGTGTGGGATGAGGGAAGTTTCTCCCTTCTGTGAATTGATGGCACTTGGTATTTTCTGTGCATTACACTACTTTGAGGAGGAGGTGGCGAGATTACTGAGATAAATCTTTTTAAAAAACAGGTGAATTCAACGTTATATTTATAGTGTGGGGGGGTATATAAACGAATTCACGGGAATGAGTCACGGGAGTTTTCTGTTAGAACCAGTAGGATTTTTGCCGTGTGTCTCGCCCGAGGAGCAGCTGTGGTCCTCCCAGTTTTCTCCCCGTGAGTGAGCAGCACAGTGGCGTAGGGCTCCGTCGATTTGCATTTGTTTTATTTGGGCTGTGAGTCCTTCTCTTCGGTGTATTACTGTCAGGAGGGACTCCAGTCTGAAGCCTGAAGTACCCCACTCGTCCCCCAGCACCGGTGGCCTGGCAGAGCAGAGCTTGCCTTTCACTCACGCGCACTGATGCGGGCCAGCAGGGGCCCTGCGGGCGGGGACGTGGGGACAGGGGTGGACAAGCCCGCGGCACGCCGGTCAGCGGCTCGTGTGTCTTTCCCTCCAAAGTCCCATCGCTCCCACGTCCACGCTGCTGGCCTGTGCCAGTCACGCCTGGCCCCGAGCGGGGCGCTCAGAGAGCAGGGAGCTCAGAGAGTGGGGTGCTCAGAGAGCAGGGCTGGAAGCCCCACAGGAGCCCAGGCGGGCACACTCCTCCCTCCTGCTGTCTGCGGGACCTCCCGGGACATCTCCAGCTTCCCTGCTGTTTCTGTCACCGTCAGGGCTGTCGTCTGCTCGGGAAACTAGGGTCACAGAATGAGCTCAGCAGGGTTCGCGGGCCCAGCTCACCTGGCCTCTGTTCAAGTCCAGAGTACACTGGAGCAGGTTCGTCTTAGCAGGAGGGTGATCAGCGCCCCCTCATTATCATCCCAGGCTGAAGGCGGGAAAGAGGGGGGGGGGGCGGCAGCATGGGAGTTGGGGCAGGGAGGAGAGTCTGTGCTGAGGTCCCTTTCCCGCCAGCAGCAGTGGAGCGGCACTGAGCTCTTCCTTTGAAGCTGTACTCCTTAGAAGTGCCGCTCTCTACCCAAATACAGTATTTGAGTTAACTCACACACGTCCACTTACGCCTAAGGACTTGGCATAGACCATGCTGAGGTAGAAGGAAGATTTCCTTCCCGCCGTTTTTGTCAGCCAAGGAGCGGACACAGGACAGGGGGCCGGGAGCCCTGTCCCACGGCCGTTCGAGCCACCGCTGAACGGAGGAGCCGAGCAGCGGTCCTGATGGGCTTCCCCCCCCTTCCCCCCCAGTTCTCTGACTACCAGAACTACCTGGTGAACAGCTGCGTGAAGGAGAACCCCACCATGGAGCGGTCCATCGCCCTGTGCAACGGCGTCTCCCAGTGGGTGCAGCTGATGGTGCTGAGCCGCCCCACCCCGCAGCTCCGCGCTGAGGTCTTCAGCAAGTTCATCCAGGTGGCCCAGGTGGGTGGCGGAGGTGGACCGTGCCGTCTTCCTGCAGCCACGGCAGGTCGTCGTGCCCAGAACTGCCCGAAGATACAGATCCGGTGGCTTCTCTCTCCCACACGAGGGCACCCTGGGACGGGCCATCTCGGTCGGGCAGCTTTAGATCGGTTCAGATCTTTAACATTTCTTAGACGGTGCTTACCAGACGAGGTCGTTTTCTCAGATCCGGCCCCCATGACGAAGGAAGGGGCCAGTCCGCATTTCCCTGGGGCTGGAGTTGGTCTTGGAGCCCCTGCTGTGCTCAGTGCCTGAGCTGAGTGTTTGAGGGACAGCATGCAAGCATTTGACGAGGAGACGGTACCCTAAGCCCACGCGGCATAGTTCTGTGACGTACAGTGAAGCCAGTTTTAGAGGCTGACTGACAGAAACGAGAGTCAGGTCCCCGTGGCATCTCACCAGCATTATAATGAGACGATGTTGACTGAAACCACAGTGCTGGGAACACATATTTGGAATGCCCCGAGCTTCCAGCTGCTCTGCCCGTTGCTGACCTGTGCAGGCTTTGCATTACACGAGAGAATACGACAGCCCTTGCCCCTCCGAAATAAAACAGCCTGGCCAATTCGGAGTGAAAGATACATAAAATTGAAGTATCTTTGCAGGAATCACATTGAACCCCCTGCTCAATGCTTAAGGACACATGCTTCCAGTTCTAGGTGGTCTAGACCAGGGTTTCTCAGAGTTCGGTACATGGACCATCTGCTCTGATATTCACTAAAGGTGTATTGAAAGCACAGATCCCTGAGCTCAACCCTAGATCCGGGATTTCAGAATATCCGGGCTTGGGTCCAGAAACCTTCGTGTTAAACAAGTGCTTTGGGTGATTCTTAGAAACCACTGATCTAGAGGGTGGTCCAAGGGCCGGCGGCACAGAGGAGACGGCGCCCTGCCAGGCTGGGGGTCCCCTGGTCTGGGACTAAGCCTGGGCGGGGGAAAGGCACAGGGAATTGCAGCGCCTGATCGCTAGTGCGTGGCCAGCGTGAGAGAAGGGTCGCAGGGCCCAGAGGACGCCTCTAAGCTGCTTGTACTTTTCATGTCCAGTGACTGTTCTCATGTTTTGTGTCACAGAAGCTCCACCAGCTACAGAACTTCAACACTCTGATGGCTGTGATAGGCGGCCTGTGTCACAGCTCCATCTCCAGGCTCAAGGAGACCAGCTCACATGTCCCACACGAAATCAACAAGGTCAGTGCTGGCTCTCCCGAAGCTCCGCGTGTTCCGAGGACCGTGTCTCCTCCTCGCAGGGGGTCACCCGGGGACCACGCCATCCCGTCAACCAGGCACAATACCAAGGAGGCAAACCCCAAGAAAACCTGCAGGGTGGGGACGTCACAGATCCGAGCGTGACTGTGATTCGGTCCTGCCTGTGTCACTGCACATGTCCCGCGGTCAGGTGAGGTCAGGTGCGCCTCCTTCCCGTGCTCCTGTCCACTGAGCCCCTCACCGTCCTGAATGCTGACTCCCTTGCTCCAGAATGTCTCACCCAAAGGAACAGTGGGTGGCTGTGCATGTCAGGTGTCCTTACATGGGGACACGTTGAACCCCCTGCTCTCCAGATCCCCCGGAGAATGGCATTCTGGATAGCTGAATTTCCCCGATAATTGGAAATGAGCTTTTGGGTGCCATTTTGTAAGTGTGTCATTGAGGAACATTTTTGTGAAATGTCCCGTGCATTTTCCTACATTCTTGGATTTCACAAAATCGGCTTCCGTCCTTTATCACACAGCTGTACAGGCCACTGTGACACACTGGAGGGCAGTGCAGCTCTGTGGCGTGGAGCATGTCCACCTCACTGCGGGCTGACCCTCCCTCCCTCCTCTCAACTCCGACCCGCCAGGCTGGCAGCCTCAGGGAGCCGTCTGTGCCTCGTTTTCCCCAGGCGTCCTTTGGGGAGTCTCTACTTAACCATCCCTGCTCTTGCAAGGCTTGGCTCTGAGGATGCCCCCCCCACACACACACACACAGGGGTCTGGTCACCTTATAATTCCCTAACGGTTCTGCTGTGACCAGGAGCAGCCGGAAGAACTCCCGTGTCTCAGAGGTGACACAGGAAAGTAGTCTGGAGACGAAGGTGCCTTTGGGCCATCTCCTCCCTCATCAGAAGGAGCCAGCTCCTCCAGCGGGTTCCCGCCAGTGCTTCCGTCTGTGGGGGCCCCTCTGGGTGGTCTGCAGAGTGAACTCGTTGAGTTGTGTTAAAGCAAGTGTCCCCGGATAGTTTATTTCTCCTTCTAAGGAGAACAAAATTGTATTATTTCCTGCGGCTAGCCTCTTGTGGGAGCCCCTTCCCCACTCCCCCCGGCACTGTGCTAGAGCCTGTCGCCCCCACAGCGACTGAGGGAGGCGACCTCCACCACCTCAGGCTCTTCACTGGGGAGAAGGGGTACTTCTCAGTCCGTGACTTTATTTAAAAAATGTCCGACACAGTATTTAAAATGGTAATTTTGTGTTGTAACATGATTGGCAGACAGTCATGACTTCCGTCTTTGCTTCTGAGAAAGCTGGTCGCCACGCGTGGGGAATGGGGCCCTGGGACCGGCCCTCTGACCTGAGCCAGGGTTTGAGAGAACAGCAGACCCGCCGCTCCGTCTGTGCTGGGGCAGCCCCGCCCCTTCCAGGGCCGAGGCGGGAGTGGCCTCTGCCTCACCCTCTGCGTGTCCTTTGCTGGGAATCTTCCAGCTCAGGGTTTCAGTCAGTGAATGGATGGCTCCTGCCTCCTAGACATAGGTGCACTGAGAGGGCCGCGGAGAGAAGGCCCGCGGAGCGCAGCACCAGACTGAGGCTCTGCGTGCTCCCCCGCAGCAGGCCGTGGGCATTGTAATGTCACAGTCCACGTGTTCGAAAATGTGGTGTCCTAGGATTCAGAAGACACTAGGGAACTGCATGGCTTGGGGACAAAGGTCAGGGACACATTAGTCACGGTGTACTCTTGTGCCTTTTTGATTTTTATATCAGGTGCTTATTTATTTTGAAAAGAAAAACTTTAGTGTAAAAACAATAAGTCTGGTTGGTGTGGCTCAGTGGTTGAGCGTCGACCCACGCATCAAGAGGTGGCCAGTTCGGTTCCTGGTCAGGGCACATGCCCAGGTTGTGGGCCTGAGCCCCAGTGGGGAGCATGCAGGAGGCGGCCAGTCGATGTTTTTTCTCATGGATGTTTCTCTCTCTCTCTCTCTCTCTCTCTCTCTCCCTCCCTCCCTCCCTCTCACTTTCTCTCTCTCTAAAATCAATAAAAGGAAAAAAATATTTTTTAAAAAAACCCTCTAAGACGATAAATAAGACATTTAAAATTTTCCAGGTGTGTAGTAGAATCAAGTCAAGCACACCTGTGTTTGTAAATACACTCTGTGCCACTGGACGTATGCTGGGGTTTTCATTCGGGGGTCATGATCTGCACCTTTTACGTGAATCACCCCTGCCCGACAATCAGGTGTGGGGTGCAGTCCTGGCAGCACTGAAAGCAGACGAGGTGTTTGTCACACCTACAGACGCTACGACCTGCCTGGCAGGTGCAGTGATCAGTCTCCTCTGCTCTGTAGGTCCTGGGTGAGATGACCGAGCTGCTGTCCTCCTGCAGAAACTATGACAACTACCGGCGAGCCTATGGGGAGTGCACCCACTTCAAGATCCCCATCCTGGGGGTGCACCTCAAGGACCTCATCTCCCTGTACGAAGCCATGCCCGACTACCTGGAGGATGGGAAGGTGAATGTCCACAAGCTGCTGGCCCTTTACAATCATATCAACGAACTGGTCCAGCTGCAAGAGGTGGCCCCGCCCTTGGAAGCCAACAAGGACTTGGTGCACCTGCTGACGGTGAGGCTCGCCCGGGAGTCACTGAGCACTGCGTGCCAGGCACCACCTGCACCTTGCCAAATATTAGCTCAGTTAACCTCACACCAACTAGGGAGTAGATATTGCTATTGTCCTCTTTTTATGGATGGAGACACGAAGGTACACATACTTTTCCAGAGGAACAGGCGTTGTGAGGCAGCAGAGCCTGGATTCAGACCCAGGGGGCAGGACCCGGTGGCCGTCCTCAGAGGCAGTGTGCCCTTCCCGCTCCCTGGGAGTGCTCCTCTCTCCCTGCAGAAGCAGCCCGCAGCTCTCTGGAAGGAGCTGAGAGCAAACCAGGGTGCAGGCTTAGTAAGAGATGGAGACAGTGTGTTCTTATTTAAAAAAAAAAAAAAATGGCAAGGCAATGAGTACCAAAAAAAAGAAAAAGGGGTTCATCACCTGGATTGCGGCCCGGGCAGTGCTCGAGCCGGGGGAAGGTGAGCACTCGCAGCGGTGCAGGCGGAGGCCAGCTGACTCCCAGACCTGCGGCTCTCCAGCTGCGACTGCGGGCGTGTCACTCGAGTCGTCTCCTCCTCTGAGTCCAGAAGGCTCGGTCTGTGACATGACTTCTGACCTCTCTTTCAGTTCCAAAATTACACAATTTTTAATGTGCTTTTTTGCGGGTTGGGATAATTATGGCCTCCCCCTACCTTGCAGGATGGTTCTGCTAGAGCCCCGGGCTGCATGCAGACGAAGGACCTTGGTCGTGGCTTTAGACACCATCATCTGTGGACAGGTGGACAGGCTCTTAACTTTTGGGGATCACAAATCCTGTGATGAAAGCAGTGAACATTCTTCCCAGAAACATATGCATAGAAGCCATACACGCAAAAATATTTTTGCGTTCTGAACCTCCTGAGTCCATCCACAGACTGTAGTTTCAGAACAAGATGATGTGTGAGGCCTCTCCTCTAAAATTTTATAGTTCTAATATACATGGAACTTATTAAGTCAGTATTGTTTAATAATACCATTCTTTGAGCTGGGTTCCGGTGCGAGAACCCGACTTGCACACCAGGCCGTGCACGTGGTCCTTGCAGAGCAGGTCTGCTTTGGGAAGAACACGTGCGGTGCGCACCATTTGACCACACAGGGCTGAGCTCTACAGAAAGGCTTGGAGAGGAAATGGTGGTTTAAATGAGGGCATGTTGAGACTTCTCCAGAATTTAAAGACATTTTAACAAAAAAGAATGCTTGCCTAGTGTGAATTTTAGAAACAAACTACTAAGCCTAGAAGAGTAAACCCCTGGAGAGGAAGAACCGAGAAAGAAATACAGCATCCTAGCAAGTAAGCCTGTTGTTTGCTCCGCAGCTGTCCCTGGACCTCTACTACACGGAGGACGAGATCTACGAGCTGTCCTACGCCCGGGAGCCAAGGAACCACAGAGCCCCGGTGAGTGGTCCTCTTGGGAGTCTTGAAAGTAGCAGATGTATTCATCTGAAGGAACCGACTTTCAGTTCAGTTCAGTTTCACAGGAGGATTGTTTCTCCTGTGTGCCCAGCCTTGTGCTAGGACAGAGAGAGCTTCAACCATGTGTGAGGGACAGTTCCTGACCACACAGAGCCTAGTCTTCCTGAAGGGTAAGGCTGGCCGTGAGCAGTAAATAACGCAGTGGTGGAGTCAGTGGGGGTTCACAGGCTAGAGGAGGACTGGGGCCGGCGGGGCCCCTCCCTCCTGTTTACTACAAATGGGCCCGCATCAGTTTGCACACTGTCAGAAGCTAACTTCGGAGGATTTCCAGCTGGGTCAGAAGAGCAGTCTATTAAGTCTTCTGGCCTCCTGTGCAGAGACCTCACGCAGCAGGTCCTGGCGCTGGGTAGCCGAACGCCACAGGCCATCTGGCCCGCCTCTCCTACGGGCAGGTTTAATTATTCATCTTCCTTCTGAAGGACCAGTAATTCCCCAGTGTCCTGGGAAGCTTCCCAGCCCCAAAACAAATGGTCCACAAGGGAAGAGTGGGCCCCACCTAAGAAACTCAGCCTACCTGTTCAGATGGCCGAGGAGCTTCCCACTGTAAGGACAGGTGTCCGCGGAGAGTATGAGCCACGTTCCATTTGCAGGGCTAGAAGGCACTGCAGTGGAGAAGGGGCCTTCTCCTGTCTTTAGAAGAGGTTTTCATTTGGGCCAAATCTTAAACTACTTAAGAATGAATTCTATCTCTAGGCCTCCGATTGTTTTGTGTATCATCCGGCCTTTTAGCTATTTTTCTCCTCATCCATGTCTCTACGAACTAGTAAGTGGAGAACAGGGAGGAAATTTCAGTGATCTACTTCACTCTTTGATGAGAGCTTTGACAGAGGTTTAATGGAGAGGGAACTGAAACGCAGTCATCCGAAGATGGAGATAACGTACGTGAGGAACACTTTGTAAACAGCGAAACACAATCTTGTGTTAGCCAGGATCGCTGTTCTGTTTCCGTTTGCGGGCGCCCAGTTGGGGGGTCTGCAGTCCCGGGGGGTCTGCAGTCCCGGGGGGTCTGCAGTCCCGGGCGGCCGCAGCCAGCGGGTGGAGGGAAAGGGGCTGTCGCCTACGCTGTAGTCACGGGGGCTTCTCTGGTTGTTTCACTTTAGCCCCTAACCCCTTCCAAGCCACCCGTGGTAGTGGACTGGGCCTCTGGAGTATCTCCCAAACCCGACCCAAAGACCATCAGCAAACACGTCCAGAGGATGGTGGATGTAAGTACAGCTGGTCCCCAGACCGCAGCAGGGCGCTGCGCTTTGTGTGGGGAGGAGGAGGGGCGCACAGCAGTGGAAACCAAGGTGAGACACTCGTTCCTCTGTGAGCCAGGGAGCCGCTCCTCACACTGTGGCTACAGGACAGTCCAGAAGCTACACTGTGCGCATACTACCTCGTGAGGGAGGTGAGCCTCCTCTTCGAGACCCAGCAAGCGAGTATTATAGTTGATTTGGAGGCAGAGAGGTGTTTGAAAGGTTCGAGTCAAAGGTAATGAGAATATGAAACGGGGAACCTCGGCACTACTTGATTCAGTCCACCGTGCTGGTGCCGAAGGAGCAGTCACACATCCGTGTTTCTGCATTTACCCGTGTGGCCCACTCCAGCTAAGAGCAGAAAAATAAGAGCTAGAAGTGACAGAACAACCAGGACTAAGAAGGGGGAGGGAGCACTTCCATCTGGGCCAAAGCTTAGGAGAAGGTGCGCTCGGAGCCGGACGAGGGCAGAGCGCAGGGAGGACGTCCCTCTGTGCAGAGCATGGAGTCCCCTCGCCAGGGCGACAGCACAGCTGTGCTCACGGATGGAGCACCCTCCTGGCGTGGCCACAACCCCGCAACAGCTTGGCGAGCAAGCTTCCTACTCCCTCTCACTCAGGCTCGGGAGAGGCTGTCACCAGCTGCTGCAGCCCGTTTGTCCAAAGGGAGAAATGACTGGTTTCTCTTGGGTAATCACCAAAGAAACTCCTTTTTTCACAGTCTGTCTTCAAGAACTATGACCATGATCAAGATGGATACATTTCTCAGGAAGAATTTGAAAAGATTGCTGCAAGCTTCCCGTTTTCCTTCTGTGTGATGGACAAGGACAGGTGAGGGTCTGCGTGAGGAACGGGTGGTCCTGAGCCCTGGGTACGAGCAGCTCGTGCGTGCATCCTGAGAACTCGGAAACGTGGCTGTTGCTGCTGTGATCACGTAATGAATGTTCAGGCTACATTAATAGGGCCGAGAGAGCAATCTCCAAGTGCTTGCCTGCCTGGCTTTGCTTTGTCTGTACAGATTATGGAAACGAATATTTATTAGTAATTTGCATACTTTCCCCGGGTTACATAAGTTGTCTTGGTTTTTGACGTGAAATTAAACAGATGGGTGGCGGGTGTGCTGTGTGCACGTGCTGTCCGAAGCGGGAACTGCGGCCCGAGGCACTGCTCCCCGGTGCAGTCCCATCATTTCTCTCCAAGGCCTGTGCGTGGGGACTGAGTTAGTTGGGAGAACCTAGGTTAGCCGAGGAACAACTCTATCAAAACGAGTAATGCTGTCTTGACTCATTACAAGCTACTCATGTATGATTAAGAGGAGGGCTCGTGAAGTGATACACACTGTGCTACCGCCCGAGGAGGAAAAGGGCGGGCAGGTTCTCCGGTTAGAAGCCGCCCTTGCTCCCCGTCCCATGCCGGTCTGTCTTTGCTGGCAGGGAAGGCCTCATCAGCAGGGACGAGATCACAGCCTACTTCATGAGGGCCAGCTCCATCTACTCCAAGCTGGGCCTGGGCTTTCCTCACAACTTCCAGGAGACGACCTACCTGAAGCCTACTTTCTGTGACAACTGCGCTGGATTTGTAAGTTGTCGCTGTGCCTCAGGGTTGAACTTGGGGAGGGGTACAAGACAGGTTCAGCGACTAAGCTGGGCACAGACCTCATAACCCTTATCAACTCATCCGGCTCAGAGCCTAAGCAAGCACCGAGTGACCTAGCCCTCAAATGCATGGTGTTTACTCTCGCTCATCTTTTCCCCTCTGGTATGAGGCTCGGATAAACGTTAAAGAAGTATTAAACTTGGGATATATATTTTTAAGTATTATATATTCATAGGCTGGTCCAAATGTTAGGGAAAATGAGACATCCTCACCTCTCCCACTTCAAAAGGAACTAACTACCTTTAAGAAGTCGTCTGGGGCCTGCCACCCTCTGCCCCACCCGACCCCAGGATTCTGTAGACTTGTTCTTAGTTTGGGGCCCCGAGGAGCCGTATGTCCTATGACTTGACTTCTGGCCGGGAGAAGGCCTGGCTCATAAATCCTGTGAGCTTCCTGAGAGCACGTGACTCTGATCAGCACAAACTCCTCCTGTTTTCAATTTAAGGCCAGGAGGGACAATACATATGAGAATGAGGTTTCCCTCCCACCTGAGGTAGAAAGAGGGAAAATCAAGAGTGTGTCAGTGCTTAGCCTCCTGCGGGACAGATGAGTGATGTCCGGTACCTTCTGTCTCTTGTCTCCTAGCTCTGGGGAGTGATCAAACAAGGATATCGCTGCAAAGGTAAGGCTGGCCCTGTCGGTCGCACTGTCGTCCCTGGTCTCAGGTGTTCGCCTCTAAAGCACTGTTCACTCATAGCAGTTGTCCCCTCAGTCCACAACTTCCCAGCACAGCCTCGTCCTCACACTGGCTTCCCTGGAAGAGCCCGGGAGTGACTGCCACCACAGGAGAGGGGACCAGTTATGCAGCTCCCCTTACAAGACCCTCTCTGCCTTGGGAATAGGGGCGGCTGGTAGGACGTTATGCTCTCATATGGCCATGGAGAGGTGGGTCCCCAGTGAAAGGCATAGAATCACTTTTGGAACAGACCTATGAGCTTGCCTTTGATCAGGTAGATCCTCCTTGTGACTAGGAAAGCCCTTTTACCACGAGGAAGGAGGAAGACCTAAGAGCTGGGAGCCTCCACAGGGTCCCCTTAGCGGAGGCAGTGTGTGTGGGATCACCAAGACGCCACCTCTTCCCTCCAAGGTCAAGGATGCTGCTTCCACTCCTGAGACTCATGATCAGGGCGACGGCAAGACTGAGCAACCCGGAATCGCCCGAGGGAGAGTGCTGCGCCCAGTAGGGACGTTAGGCAGCCTGGCTCCTGAAGGCGGACGGCCCGTGCGACAGGACAGAGGGCCCTATACAAGTGAAACACTAACTGGGTGTCTCGTCCACAGACTGTGGGATGAACTGCCACAAACAGTGCAAAGAGCTGGTGGTGTTCGAGTGCAAGAAGAGAGCGAAGGGCTCAGCGCTCACGGACAGCAGCACCTCTGCGGGCCCACCCTTCAGCCTCTGCTCCCTGGGCGCCAAGGACCTGCTCCACGGTGAGGGGGCATTGGGGACTAAGGGGGCATTGGGAACTAAGGGGGCATTGGGAACTAAGGGGACATTGGGAACTAAGGGGACATTGGGAACTAAGGGGACATTGGGAACTAAGGGGGCATTGGGGACTAAGGGGACATTGGGGACTAAGGGGGCATTGGGGACTAAGGGGGCATTGGGAACTAAGGGGACATTGGGAACTAAGGGGACATTGGGAACTAAGGGGGCATTGGGAACTAAGGGGGCATTGGGGACTAAGGGGCATTGGGAACTAAGGGGACGCTTGGGAACTAGGGGACATTGGAACTAAGGGGACATTGGGGAAACTAAGGGGACATTGGGAACTAAGGGGACATTGGGAACTAAGGGGAGCATGGGGACTAAGGGGACATTGGACTAAGGGGGACATTGGGGACTAAGGGGCATTTGGGCCTAAGGGGGCATTGGGGACTAAGGGGGCATTGGGGACTAAGGGGGCATTGGGGACTAATGGTGGCATTGGTGACTAAGGGGCATTGGGGACTAAGGGGGCATTGGGGACTAGAGGGGGCATTGGGGACTAAGGGGGCATTGGGGGACTACGGGGGCATTGGGGACTAAGGGGGCATTGGGGACTAAGGGGGCATTGGGGACTAAGGGGGCATTGGGACTAAGGGGGCATTGGGGACTAAGGGGGCATTGGGGACTAAGGGGGCATTGGGGACTAAGGGGGCATTGGGGACGAAGGGGGCATTGGGGACTAAGGGGGCATTGGGGACTAAGGGGGCATTGGGGACTAAGGGGGCATTGGGGACTAAGGGGGCATTGGGGACTAAGGGGGCATTGGGGACTAAGGGGGCATTGGGGACTAAGGGGGCATTGGGGACTAAGGGGGCATTGGGGACTAAGGGGCATGGGGACTAAGGGGCATTGGGGACTAAGGGGGCATTGGGGACTAAGGGGGCATTGGGGACTAAGGGGGCATTGGGGACTAAGGGGGCATTGGGGACTAAGGGGGCATTGGGGACTAAGGGGGCATTGGGGACTAAGGGGGCATTGGGGACTAAGGGGGCATTGGGGACTAAGGGGGCATTGGGGACTAAGGGGGCATTGGGGACTAAGGGGACATTGGGGACTAAGGGGGCATTGGGACTAAGGGGGCATTGGGGACTAAGGGGCATTGGGGAACTAAGGGGGCATTGGGGGACTAAGGGGGCATGGGACTAAGGGGCATTGGGGACTCAGGCATTGGGGACTAAGGGGACATTGGGAACTAAGGGGGCATTGGGACTAAGGGGACATTGGGAACTAAGGGGCATTGGGACTAGGGGCCATTGGGGGACTAAGGGGGACATTGGGAACTAAGGGGCATTGGGGACTAAGGGGACATTGGGGACTAAGGGGGCATTGGGGACTAAGGGGGCATTGGGGACTAAGGGGGGCATTGGGAACTAAGGGGGCATTGGGGACTAAGGGGGACATTGGGGACTAAGGGGACATTGGGGACTAAGGGGGCATTGGGGACTAAGGGGGACATTGGGACTAAGGGGCATTGGGACTAAGGGGACATGGGACTTAAGGGGGCATTGGGACTAAGGGGCAATTGGGGACTAAGGGGACATTGGGGAACTAAGGGGGCATTGGGGACTAGGGGGCATTGGGGACTAAGGGGGCATTGGGGACTAAGGGGGCATTGGGGACTAAGGGGACATTGGGAACTAAGGGGGCATTGGGGACTAAGGGGACATTGGGGACTAAGGGGGCATTGGGGACTAAGGGGGCATTGGGGACTAAGGGGACATTGGGAACTAAGGGGACATTGGGGACTAAGGGGGCATTGGGAACTAAGGGGACATTGGGGACTAAGGGGGCATTGGGAACGTGCATCTCGGGAAGCGAAAGGGGAAGGATGAAGCTCTCAGGAAGGAAAGATTACCTTTATCCTTCTTTCTTAATAGAAACCAGCACAAATACCATGATGAAGACAGGCCTGTATATTATGTACTCTATATTTTAAGAGTTACACATCATCTTTGGGCACAATTGTCATAAAATGCAAATTTTCATGGGAGAAAAGTAGCTGAGAATAGCACAGAGGTCTGGGGTCTCAGCGTGAAGTCTGGAAAAAGGGTTAAATATTTAATAGTAATTTAAATTTTGTTCCCCCAGGGAAAAATTAAACTAGGATCCTTAAAAGGTTTCTAGTAAGTATTGCAACTGCTGATTCAGATGCTAAGTAGAGAACTCTCATTCAGAAGCCATTTTGACAAAACCAATCCAATGTCTTAGCTGGAAAGTGTGGTAATAGAAATAGATATGTAACATTTTCATAGCAAAGCAGTCAACATAGGTGATCTGCTGTTTATCTTGAAGCCACCTCCCCTGCATCTGCTCCTGCTCTGCTTCCCCAGGTTGACATCTAGGCTGAGTCCTGGATACGGCTGTTAGTTGGCAAAAGAAAACCAGAATGACTCCTGTCTTTTCTAACCAGTATCAAATGAGGGCAATACATCTGATACCGTCCACGCAACTAGAACTCCCCTCTCCCAGTTAAGCTGTGCCTGTTGTACAAATGGGCCAATGGGTAGCACAGAGAATTCCTGTATTCCAGGCCACCTGTCTCAGAACCCACACCAGAGTGCTGAAGGTACTTGTGAGACATGACAGCCCCGAGGCAGGGGCTTCTGTTTTTCTGCAGAAACAGAAACCCTCTAGGAAACCTCTGTGCAAATAGAAAAAGATGCCCTTTCCTCGGGGTGCTGCAGCCTGGTGCTAGCAGCCATGGCTTGGCCAGCGAAGCCCCTGAATTTCAGTCCCCTTCACCCCCTAAATTGGGTGCCTAAAGATGAGTCCATTTTGGGCCTCTGGAATTCCTGTAACAATAAGATCTTTTGAAACTCATCTATCCGTTTGCGTCTCTGCTTGTCTGAACTAGATGACGAACATGTCCTGTGTCTTCCTACAGTACCCGAGGATGGACCTTTTACATTCCCTAATGGGGAGGCTGTGGAACAGAGTGAAGAGACGAGAGATCGGACCATCATGCTGATGGGCGTGTCCTCCCAGAAGATCTCTGTGAGGCTGAAGAGAACTGTCGCCCACAAGGCCACGCAGACTGAGTCGGGGCCTTGCGCTGGCAGCGAGGGCCCTTCCGCACTGTGCTCCCCCAGGAAGGCAGCCCCGGGCACTCTGTACGTGCTTCCCAGCCCCACATCTCCATGCCCCAGCCCCGTTCTGGTCAGAAAGCGGGCTTTTGTCAAGTGGGAGAATAAAGACTCCCTCATCAAGTCAAAGGAGGAGCTCCGTCACCTCAGACTCCCAACCTACCAGGAGCTGGAACAGGTACCTTTTCCTTTTCTATTCAGACTCGTAGAGAAGTGGGGCTAAACCAGGGGAGCACATGTAAACTGAAGGTTCAGTCCAGGTGCATTACTAGCAGAATAAAGCAAAAAGAAAAGGATTCTGGCTTTCTTTCAAAGAAATGAGTGGGGCCCTGATTCACGCGACTGCAGCAGGTGGTGCACAGGGCTCCTGATGCCAAGAAGGCACCGTCTGTGCTAGTGCCCAAACCTGTGCACAGCAGGCTTCTGGTTTTACTGTGCTGACACCACACCCTTTTTCTAGATGAGACATAAAATGACCTTGCCTAAATCCTCCCCCATAGTTTTTACGTCTTCATCAGGATGATGTTTTGGGAGCGTCGTGATTGCCTAGGCGTCTCCTAAAGAAGGTAGGTGATCTGTGTGCTACCAAAGGAAAGCCCCCTCTTGCTGTGAGGGAAATCATGTCTGACACATCAGGTAACGTGCTGACCTCCCATACACATTCGAAGAGCTAAAGCAATAGTGGCTGGTGAATGCACAGCTGGATATAATACCCGGCAACCTAATCTATAAAATGGTAAAGACTGTACTACTGGGAACTGCTTTGTTCCGTTAGGCTCACAATGTCTAATAGAGTATTTGGACAACTGCCTACGGGCCCACAACCTACACTACTCTAACGAAGGTGGCAAATCTACAGAATTAGAAACATGTGTTAACCATTTATTATAATATAAAGACTTAAGGAGTATTAAATATAACTATTACCTAATTCTCAATGAAGTCACAACATAAAGAGGTAAACTGACATCAAAGAGGGAGAAGTCAAAGGGTGGAAACATTACAGACAAATGATGATTAAGGTACTACCAGCATAATACAACTACTGTATCTATAATGTTTTTTTATAAGCCACATGGTAACCACAAAGCAAACATCTAAAGTAGAGTTATGGAACATAAAAAGGGGAGACTGAGCAAATTACCATGGAAAACCACCACAAGGCAAACAGTAACATGGCAGCAGTAAGTCCTTATATATCAGTAATCATTCTAAATATAAAGATTGAATTCAGCAATCAAAAAGCACAGGGTGGCCATATGGATTTTTTTTTTTTCTAAATCCAAGTATATGCTTCCTATAAGAAATTCATTTTGGCTCTAAAAACACATAGGCTCAAATTGAAGGGATGGAAGAGGATATTCCATATGACTAGAAACCAAAACAAAGTGGTCATAGCCATACTTTTATCAGACAAAATATAAACTTCAAGCCAAAAACACTGAGGAAAGGTACAACAATTGTAAATACATATGCAGCCGTCACTGGAGCACCGAAACAGAGCTAAAGGGAGAAAGAGACCAAAAAATAATAGTAGGAGTCTTCAATACCCACTGTCAGTGATGGATAGATCATCCAGACAGAAAATTAACAAGGAACCGTAAGAATTGAACCACACTCTAGAACAAATCGACTTAACAGATATATAGAAAAAAAATTTGAGAGCACGGGGAATATTTTGCAAGATAGACCATATGATAAGGCATAAAACAATTCCCATCAAATTTAAAGACTGAAATCATTCCAACTATATTTTCAGACCACAATGTTCAATGAAACTAGAAATCAATAGGAAAACTGATCACTGGGTCAAATAAATCAAATGGGAAATTAAAAATTACCTTAAAACAAATGAAAATGGAAATAAAACATATCAAAACATATGCAGCAAAAGCAGTTCTGAAAGTTTATAGCAACAAATGCATAACCTAACTTTACACCCAAGAGGATGAAAAAGACCAAATTAAGCCCAAAGTTAGCAGAAAAAAATGAAATCATAAAAAAGATCAGAGTGGAAATAAATGAAATAGGAAAAAGAATAGAAAGGCTCGACAAAACTATAAAAGCTGGTTCTTTGAAAAGATAAAATTTGCTTAGTCTGGCTAAAGGCTTGGCAAGGACAGAAGACTCAAATAAAATTAGAAAGGCAAGAGGTGATATTACAACTGTTACTACACAAATACCTGAGACCATAAGAGATTATTAGGAACAATTATATGCCAACAAATTTTATAAAAGAAATAGAGAGCTGAACAGACTTATAATGAACAACCTCCCAACACAGAAAACCCCAAGATCAAATGGCTTCACTAGCAAATTTTTCCAAACATTCAAGGAATTAACACCAATCCCTCTCACTTTCAAAAAATTGAGGAGGGAATACTTCCAAACTCTTTCTATGAGGGCACCATTACTGTTACCAAAGACCAATATCACTGATCAATACAGATACAAAAATTAGCAAATCAAAATCAGGAACTCATGAAAAGGATTATACACCATGACTAAGTAGGATTTATTCCTGCGATGCAAGGATGGTTCAGTATATGCCCACTCTCATCACTTTTATTCAATATAGTAGCCAGAGTGATTAGGTAAGAAAAAAAAAAAAAAAAATCAAAGTCATCCACAACAGGAAAGAAAACTATCATCATCTGTGGATATTGTAAGTCGGTATGTAGAAAATCCCAAAGACTCGGAACTAACCAACAATTTGTCAAGTTGCAGGATACATAAATCAACATACAGAAACGAGATGCTTTTCTATACCTGTAAAAAATGAACTATCCCATTCACAATCGTATCAAAAACAATAAAATACTTGGACTACATTTAACGAAGGAAGCAAAAGATCTTTACAACAAAAATGGAAAGACACTTGTGTTCATGGATTAGAAGAATCCATATTGTTAAAATAACCACACTGCCCAAAGCAATCTGTAGATTGAGTGCAATCCCCACCAAAATACCAACGGCATTCCTCAAGAAATGGAAAAAAATCCTAAAAATTGTATGGAACCACAAAAGACCCCAAACTGCCAAAGAAATCCTGATTATTTTTTAAAAATGGAGGCATCACATGCCCTGATTTCAAACTATATTACAAAGCTACAATAATAAAAACAGTATGGTACTGGCACAAAAATAAACATGTAGACCAATGGTACAGAAAAGGGAGCCCAGAATTAAATCCCTGCTTATGCAGTCAGCTAATATTCAATAAAGGAGCCAAGACCACCCAAGGGGGAAAATATAGTCTCTTCAACAAATGGTTTTGGGAAAACTGGAAAAACACATAAAGAACAATGAAACTGGAATTGACTCAAACATAAGACCTGATATTATAAAACTTCTGAAAGAAAACATAGGATGGAAGCCCCTCAATATTGGTCTCCGCAATGTTTTTTGGGGGGGATATGACACCAAAAGCAAAAATGATAAAAGTAAAAATCAGATGAGACTACATCAAACCTAAAAGCAAAAGAAACAAAACGATAAAGGCAGTCTACAGAATCGGAGAAAATTTTTGCAAACTATCAGAATAGGGGTTAATATCTAAAATTTATATACCTTAAGAAAAACTCATCCAACTCAGTAACAAAAATCCAATTAAAAAATGGGCAGCCCTGCCCAGCCAGTGTGGTTCAGTTATTGAGCTTCAACCCATTCACCAAAAGGTCTCCAGTTCAATGTCCAGTCAGGGCACATGCCCAAGTTGTGGGCCCAATCCCCAGTGGGGGGCATGCAAGAGGCAGCCAATCAGTGTTCTCATTAATGTTTCTATCTCTCTCTCCCTTCCTCCCTCTAAAATCAATAAAGAAAAAAAGAAAAAAGGCAGCCCTGGTTGGATTGCTTAGTTGGTTGGAGCCAGAGTCCCAAACACCAAAAGGTTTCGGGTTTGATTCTTGGTCAGCGCACATACCTAGGTTGAGGGTTCAATCCTGTCGGAAGCATAGAGGAGGCAACCAATCATTGTTTCTCTCTCCCCTCCTCTCTTTCCAAGATCAATAAACATATCCTCAGGTAAGGATTAAAAAAAAAAAAAACAGACATTTTTCCAAAGATGACACATAGATGGCCAAGTGGTACATGAAAATGTGCTCATCACTAACCATCAGGGAAATGCAAATCAAAACTGTAATGAGCTATCACCTCACACCTGTTAGAAGAACGCTCATCAAGAAGACAAGCAGTAAGTGCTGACAAGGACATGAAGAATAGGGAATCCTTGTGCACTGCTGGTGGAAATGCATACTGGTAAACCCACCATGGAAAACAATATGGAGGTTCCTCAAAAAATTAAAAATAGAACTACCATATGATCCAGCAATTCTGGGTATTTATCAGAAGTAAATGAAGACACTAACTTGAACCAAATGCACCACCCTATTCACTGTAGTATTATTTACAATAGCCAAGACACGGAACAACCCAAGTGTCCAAAGACGGGTGAATGGATAAAGAAAATGTGGTACACATATACAATGGAATATTACTCAGCTATAAAAGGAATGAAGTCTTCCTGTTTGTGACAACATGGATGGACCTTGAGCACATTATGCTGAAATAAGTCAGAAAAACAAATACTGTACTGTATCACTTACATGTAACATTTTAAAAAGCCAAACATGTGAAAACAGAGTAAAATGGTTACTAGGCATTGAGGGTGGAAGGACAGGACAGATGTTCAAAGGGTACAAACTTACAAGTGGTAAATTATTCCTAGCGATATAATGCACAGTACAGGGGTTAGAGACAATATTGTATTAAAATCATCAAACATGCTAAGACTAGAATTATTCCAACTACTAAAAAGAAAGGATTAATTAATGTAACATAATGGAGGTGTTAATTATGGCTACAATGGCAATCATATTACAATATATATGAAATTAACATGTTGTGCACCTTAAATTTACATAATGTTGTATGTCAAATATATTTCAATTTTTAAAAAGTCAAGACTAGAAACCAACCTCTGTCCATATAATTAAATAACTGAAAACTAGATAACTACATCTCAGGTTAAAGAATGGGATAAAATTCCTGTCTTTACCAAAAGAGTTCATTAGTTTTCAGTGATTCAGGGTAAATGCACTTGGAATAAATGAACTATGATACCTCATATTAAAGTTATCTGAGTCACTGCCTTCATACCTAAAACCTAACCAGAGACTCTGTTTCTGCCAAGTTTAGGTCTCCTGTTACACAACTGCCAAAGGTTTTGTCATTATCCACCTATTGCCCAGAGAGTGGCCTGTTAGCCACTCACATCTTTGATAAACAAAAACTACTGTTTGCACATGCTCATTTGATATTCAACTTATTTTCTATTCAGGGTAAAATAACTGTCTTGAAAATAGTTTTTAATGCTCAGCTACAATGAATGGGAGATGCCAATCAAGTGTACTACTCCCGATACTGTAAATGATTTGTTATTCTTTGCTGCTTTATTAACATACCCCAATTCTCCTTTCTCTGTAGGAAATAAATACACTGAAAGCAGATAATGATGCTCTAAAGATCCAACTGAAATACGCACAGAAGAAAATAGAAAGCCTCCAACTTGCAAAAAGCAATCACATCGTAGCGCAGATGGAACAGGGGGACTGTTCTTAGCCCAGAACCTCAAGAAGCACAATCGGTAGATAAGTGTATCAGAGATCTCATTTTCCAAACCAGTCAACACAAAGACCAGGGAAGCTTAGAGTGACCAGCTTTAGAAAGGAAAGAAAAGCTAGTTAGTCTCCCCACCCCAACCCCTAATGTGTGGCACTGTTTTCTCTTCCAGTCAGTTGAATCAAAGGGGAGGAAAACTGAAGAATACAAAATTTTTGCCATTCATATCAGAAACTTTTCCCCCTAAGACTAATAGCAAAAGGGTAATAAAAACATGCCTAGTTTTCTGACAAGGTGGCTTTTCCTATGTGGCCTGCTCGGCTGCTGCTTCCTTAGAACTAAAATCCCTGGAAAATGAATTTGCTTCCTTCCCAGAGGTTTTCTGTGAGCTGAGGGCTGTATTTTGTTCCATCCAAAGCTTGCTTATAATATTAAAAGTAGATTCATTTCCTCTACGTTCCAGCATTCTTTATGAATCTGGTTCCCAATTCACTACCTCAAATCTAATCAATTAGCCTTCCCCCATCCTTCCGCACTACACTCACTCACACACACACACGGATATCTACCTAGAACCGAACTTCTAGAAATGTAGGTACAGATTGTAGGGGCCTGTTAACCAACATGACATTATCCATTTGCAAATCATCTCATAGTTTTAGTTTCAGAGTCATAAGTAACCAAATTAAATACCTAAAAACACAGCTATTACCATCTCATACATGACTGGCTAATTACCTAAAATCAACATAATGCAAAACATATGTCCTCATATAATCTATAGTGAATAGAATTAGGACTTTATGGCTGTTGTTAAAAACAGTTTGTTTAGCTTTTCATGTGCTATCTATACCTTTTTTTTTAGTAACTATTTTTGAGCTGAATTTATGTTTATACTGCCTTCACTATTACTACTTAGAAATAAGCTAATTGGATCAGAGCCTTCAATAACAGCTGACAGCGTGTACATATGTATATATATTATATACAATATCAGGCATGCATGTGACTTGGAATTTTGTTTCCTCCTTCATAAACTGTGGAAGTGAATTACACAAATTCACAAGTATAAAGTTCAGTTTGTCATAAGATGAAGATATAAATTGTACTATTTGGCAAAATCACAAGCAAGAACCCTGTGAGTTGTCTATTAATGAAGGTTAATGATAAATAGGTTCATTTAGTTGTCTGGGCAACTGTTCACAAATTTCTTTGTCAGACTCCTTATTTCTCTAAAAAGATTCATATGATCATTTTCTTTTCCGGGAGGGGGGGGCAGGGGAGAACTTACCTTCCATGTTTAGAAAGCCTGGTACCAAACTGACTTGAAATTCATAAGCAAGTTGGCCAACATGCCAAGAATATAATCCCAACAATTAGAAATTCCAAACCTAAAGCCAACACCAAGTCTTAACCAGAATAGAGTACACGTACACAGTATAGCCTATGTGGATAGTCAAACCATTTAAGAAGTTTGAGGAAAGACTAGTTCCCCTTTGCATACCTCCTTGTACTGACCTTCAGTGATCAAGCTAGTGACTAGCTTTCCACTGGGTTTTAAAGAATCCTAACTCAAAAATCCCACCTGGTAAGTAAGCTTATAGAAGCTATTTTACTTTGCTACTTACCTTATATGGAACATGAGTTTATGATAATCTTTAAAATTCATATTCTTTGCTATTGATCTTTACCTCTGCTATAAACCAAAACCAGTACAGCTCAATTTTCTTTAAACACAGCCATGTAACACAAATTTTTTCATTCTCCTCCTCCTCTACCCAAAATACACATTCCAGGTTAGTTTCTATGTGGGTAATCTGTAGGAATTCAAAAGGTAACTAGTCAAATTAGCAAGCCTAGAGGGTCTAAGCATTGCAGAACTTACCCCTGAAATGGACAGGAAGCAGTAATTTCATCACAGGTTTTTACAGCCCAGCCAGAGCCAAAGAAGTACAGTGTGTAAATTCATATTATTTGTGTGGAATCTACAGAACTAATCTGGGACAGACTTTTGGTTGTTAAGTCTAGGATACAAACTTTTGTGTCTTATACTGACTTGAAATAAGTTTGGGCATATATTTACCTGCCAAAACATTGACAAACTTTGTCAACAGCAATGTCACTTCTTTTTTTTTTTTGGTAACTGACTTGCCTTTTTACTATTTGTGAATTTCTGTCTAAAGATGTACTATGTAAAAGAACTGCAAGGAAAAAACAAATGTACAGATTGTAAAGTTTTTTTTTTATACCTAATGTAAGTTTTCTTTGTGTAATATTTGTATGATAAAAGACATTAGGATCCCTACAATACAGCTGTCTTGTATTTCTTCTAATTCATGAATATGTAGAAGCTTAACCTGAATTTTTACTATAATCCACAGCTGAAACCACTTCCCTATTGTATTAGCAAACAGTTCTGGAAGGAAAAGCAAAGCAACTAATTATTCAGTATAATTTTTTCTGAATCTTTTTATAACACAAAGTAACAGTACAGAAATAGTCAAACTTCTCCCATCTTATTGTATAATGACTGATCCCCCAAATAGTAAGTCTATAAACACTTAACAGTGAAGGAGACAAATCTGAGGCTGCCATTTCTGTGGCTTTGGTCTTGAATTCCACAGTTCTAAGAAAACTAGCACCTAGAGTGACTTTGAAGCTGTGGGTGAACGTGGTAGAGGACCATGGTTCAATCTAGTGTACAGACCACCCCAGAGCAATTCATTTGTGCTCATGATTATTTAATGATTACAGAGAGCCATGATTTCCCTTACTCCCCAGTGAAGAGGGAAAACATTTCCCATCACTCAAATTCCAGCACAGAATGCATTCTGATACAATTGAATATGGGTGTATTTATCTTTCTTGCACTTCTTAATACTTTACACAAAATAATGAAGTCACTCTGACAACCTGAACCTGAAAGAGATTCGATTTCCTCTCCCAATATCTCCCAATTCCCATCCCAAATATCTCTATCCTGTGCTCCTTACAAGATATAGTATCACTACTCAGAACATCCTGAGGTGACAAATCTTTTTTGGATTTCAAACCTTTTGACACAAATACAGGTAATTAAATGTTTTTCATTTAAAATGTGTTTTTCTGTTTAGCGAGGAAAGGTTTCCCTGATCTGCAGAACACAAGGTAACAGGTTCAAAGAAAACATCTGATGGGTGATGGTGTGGTGGTTGTGTATGGACAAGACTTATTTCCTTATATGGTCCAGATGTGAGAGTAGTTACCTCAACTCACAGTAAAGACTTATCTATATAGATGCTATTAGATACCAAAGGCTAGACCCAGGCAAGAAAAGTATAAAAGGGGAGGGAAAACAAGGTAATAGGAAAAAAATGAAAATGAGAACTAGGCAAAAGGAATGAAGAGGAGGCTCACAGAACAGGCTGCTGGACTTCAGTTCAGGAAGCAGTGAGGTACACTCATCATACTACATAGGTATTACAAGTGTTTTATAAAACATTTTCATCACATGACACCTTTCACACGAAGGCCCCAGATTTCCTTAATGCTATTTTAGATATTGCTTAACACACTCTTCTACAAATGAAATTTTTACTGAACAAAGATTATTACGAAAATCTTAGAAGAAAGAGGAAGGTATCTGAGTCTCGACCACCCAGCTTTATTCAAGTGAAGTTTATAGGAACGTGTAAATATGTGAGGCTCCCACTCCAACAGGGTTCCGGGAGCAAGTGCTAAAGCTGGGTAAGATTTACAGGATCCCTGTGGGCAACGAACAGCACTCCTGGGACGGTCCAAAGACATCTTACAGAGACCGACGAACTAATGTTTCTGTCATCACTCAGAAACCTTTAGTGAGAAAAGTCAAAGGGTGTTGTAAACCCCATCTGTGTCAGCAACTCAAGCTCCCGAAAGAAATGAAGTAGCAATGTAAAAGTTTTAAATGAACATTTTCTGTTTTAACTAGCAACTCTTGAAATATTTTACTCCATTGGTCTCTGCTTATATATTTCTAAAAATTACTTTTCAGGGTTCATAGCTACTGGTAAAAGTATGTTTTAATTATGGAAAACATTCTTCTCCAACAATCACAAATAATAAGTCTCTTCATTAAATATAAGCACATTAAAAAATACTCTAAGTTTACAAATAACCAAAAAAATTTGTTTTACTATACTGAACAAATTTCTTTGAAGGGTTATCTTGAAAAACACATGGCCAAGACATCAGTATACACAATATTTACTTTTAAAGTTTTAACATTTTATTTTATTTTTTTATCCTCACCCGAGGACACTCTTTCCACTTTTTGTTCAGATAGAGTGGGAGGGAGGAAGGGAGAGAGAGAGAAACACAGACGTGAAAGGGACACATCGAGTGGCTGCCACCCACACAACCCCAACCAGGGCCGGGGACAAACTGCAACCAAGATAAGTGCCCCCAGCGGGAACCGAACCCAGGTCTCTCTGGACCACAGGCTGACGCTCTAATCACTGAGCCAAACCGGCCAGGGCGAAAGTTTTAACATTATTTTAGATTTCACCACAGGATTTACTATAAAACAAAAAACTATAAAATATCAGATACCATCTGTCCACTGGTACTCAGCTTTCTATCTGTTGAGTTGTTTAGCGCATAGAAAAGTGTTATGCACAGGTGTTGACCAGAAGCCTACATCGGACAGACTACACAGTGGGAATTTAAAAACTGGGTGGCTATCTCTTTTTCTCTATTTCTCTACATAAGAGAAAAGTGCCTTAGCTGGCCCATCTCTTGAACCAGTCACAATAAGCCCACTATAAATTCCCAACAAATGTGACTTGTACTTAGGTCTTTATGAAACAACCCGAGTAGGGCTCAAGCATCACATTCCTCATCTGACAAATGAGGACAAATCAATCCTTGAGACCTTTGGTCATTTTAGCCCACAGCACCCCTGGACCAGTGCCATTATTCAAACTCACAACCCCCGGTCACCAAGCCTTTGACTGCTCCAATCACCAACCCATATACAACCCTTCCCTAAACCTGTGTTTTCTAAATCTAGCTGTAAGAAAGATCTATTAAAACTGGAAATTACCCCTCTAATCCTAATGTAATACAGCTCAACCTGCCTTTTAATATTCTGTTCCGATATCTAAAATGATATGACTCAAAAGGATGAAGAAACAATTTATAGGAATATTTTATACATCATCATCATCATGTAAAACTGGTTCATGCCTTTGTCCCTTTAGAGTAATTCTGACCTCAACCTAACTTTGCTTTGTCAAACAAAATCACAGATTTCAAATCCAGTTGGAAAATCAATCAAATATGCATACCAAAAGTAGACTCAGGCTGATTCAATTAATGAAACTTTAACAGAAACCTGAACAGAGGAATAAAAAAAAAAAAAAAAAAGTCATGACAACTACCTATTGAACAAAACTATCAGTCCCTTTCCCTATTTTGTAAAGTAAAATTAATAAATACAAAACACAGGAATACAAATGAGGCAATAGTCTAATAACAAGTGGGGTCTGTTTTATGTGTCTCAAACCTGAACAAAATACAGGTAACAATCTAAATTCAATCATAACAATAAAATACTTTCCATTTTCCAAGTTTGATGGTAATAAATATTTACATTTTTAAAAATAGTTTTTGCTCATTTTTTTAAAGATATAACATGCTCAAGGGTACACAGAATATGAAAAAAAAAATTCATCACTCTGTCCAAGAGATCAAATAGTAGTACGAAACAATGCTCTTACATATTAACCAGTTCAAGGATGATACCTAGGAATCTAACATGGTGTTTACTTCATAGCTGACATTCAAGTACGTTATTCAGAACACTATGCTTAATGTATCTACCAAGAAGTAAGCATTGCTATCTAATTTTGTAATTTTTAATATCTTCTATATCCACCACCACCTCCTCCATACGGATCTCCATAACCTCTTCCCCCATAGCCCCCTCTTCCCCCATAGCCCCCTCTTCCCCCATAGTCTCCCCTCCCACCGTAGTCTCCCCTCCCACCATAGTCTCCCCTGCCCTGGAAACCTCCCCCTCTACCACCTCCTCCACCTCCTCCCCACCCTCCCCCATTCCCTCCCCAGCCACCTCTTCCACCCCCACCACCGCCTCTACCACCGCCTCCTCTACCGCCACCCCGACCACCCCTTCCGCCGCCTTCTTGTCTCTTTTGCCACGGTGGCATTTCAGGGGGTGGTGGTTCGATTTCGTTCGGTCGTCCTCCCCTGTCAGGCACCCTTCCCATCAGCACCTGTATGAAGAAACAGTTTCTTTCATTTTCCAATATTTTAAGTTAAGATTTACATAAAGGATTCAAGTGATATTAAAATTATTGTTCTAATAAAGAAACAGAAGCCAAACATTTAAGAACATGAAAGTATCAGAATGGCAGTATGAATTAATATTGAAAATATAAATGTGAGGTATGACAAATTCCTCACAATGTGGTATTATTTTTAAACAATCTAGGGAAATATTTCTGCTACTTGTTATTTTCTATTGTTTAAATATGTTTAGCAAATTCTGTAACAAATATAGTACCTATTATACTAAGAAAGCTTTTTAACAAAACATTAATATACATAAACTACAGACCCCAAATTAAATTAATGTCCATTTATACTACAACTCTGGACCTTCCATTGCCACTGACTTGGTAATGGACTATCCAATAAAAGATTTTTTCTGCCCTGGCTGGTTTGGCTCAGCGATTAGAGCGTCAGCCCCCGGATCAGAGAGGCCTGGGTTCAGTTCCCACTAAGGGCACGAACCTCGGTTGCAGTTTGTCCCCAGCCCTGGTTGGGTCGTGCGGGTGGCAGCCACTCGATGTGTCTCTCTCACATCGATGTTTCTCTCTCTTCCTCTCTCCCTCTCGCTCAATCTGAAGATACATGCAAAAATATCCTCGGGTGAGGATAAAAAAAGACTTTTTCTAATCTCATTTTTATTTCAACATGTATGAAGTATATGTGATAACATGTGGCTATAATGAGGTCAAAGATGACTATAATAACTATAATCCAAGACAGCATTGCAAAGAGATACAAGTATCTCTTTTGAAAAAAACAACAGAAAGAATGAATTAGTATCATCACTAGCTTTTAATGATGACACTAGTTATTACATTATTTAAACAAATAAATACTTGAGGTTCTTCCTTCACCAAGCTTTATGACACTTTGAAGGCTAACCCAA